TACAATACAATACAAATTTATTTACTTAGTGAATAAAGCTGTATACGTGGTAGAGCTATGCTGTAACTATATTACTCATATAGTTGTAGCACGAATGGATCGTTTCGACTGGGGAAGGACCACGCTCTCACAGAATACCAGCGTGAAATAGCAGGTTAACGCTGCTGTGTTTCGTATGGTGAGTGTAGAGAACCGGAGACCCTTTTTACTGGAAACGAGGCATTCCATCTTAGTCCTCACGGGTGACAACGCATCAGCATTTTGATTCGTAATCGAGGATAGATGTAGATGTCTATGGGCCGCAGTAACCACTTACCATCAGGTGGACTGTGTGCTCGTTTGTCACCCTATCCTATAAAAAATAGGTGTGTATTTATATAAATCTCAAAAGCAAGATAAACAACTAGATATCTATACATATAAATAAAATTAAACTGTCTGTCTGTAACATTCAAGTAACTGGCTTTTTTAAGCCCAAACTGTTATTTGCATAGTATTTAAACATAAATAACCATTTTTAAATTTCTAGTCAGTCAGTCTGTGTGCCGGGGCTAGTCTTTGGAATGGTTGAAGCGATTAAAACCTACATTAGAGCCATTATCACCTATGCTGCTCCGGCCTGGTACGCGCTTCTGAGCGAGCCTCTGAGGCGGCGACTGCAGGCCCAGCAAAATATGGCGTTAAGAACCATCGTCGGTGCGGGTCGCTACGTCCGGAATGACGTCATAGCGGCCAACCTGAAGATCGACACCATACAGGAATTTGTGGCCCGGTTGGCGTGCGGACTGTTCGACCGTGCAGACAACGGGCCGCATATACACCTCAACAACTTTGCGCCGCTACACACTCGCCCTCCGGACGGGCGACCCTATCCAAGAGAACTCCTCTCTATATCGATTAGAGAGTCGAGTAACAACCCTCAATGCCGCTGAAAGGCCAACTCCGACTTCATTAGATAACCTCCTTTTTTCGTAGTCATAACCGACTACGAAAAATTTACCGATTACGGAAAAAACGTATAACACCTACAATGCCATTAGAAGGCTCCCAGGACCGGTCCATAGTGGTGGACCGCGAGGACAGCACGGGTAATGGGGGCTTACCCCGAGGCCCGAAACCTCCATGTGCCTTTGGCACGTGAAGAAGACATCAACGTTTGAAGCGATTGTGATAAGACTTCAGGAACAGATTGAGAGCAATGATGCTACAAGTGATCTAGGCTAGATATTTTCTGAAAAACTTGGACATTTTTTTTGAGAAATCAAAAAAGTTGTTAAAATAAAAAAAACATTTTTTATGATGATTATTTAGAGTCTAAATAACGCCGCGTAAATAAACCCGACCCAATCGAAGCCGGGGCGAGCCGGTAGTAATGAATGAAACTGTGTGCGACGTCTTAACGTTATTTATTTGTAGCCAAAAGTTGACAAACGAACACTCAGTCCACCTGATGGTAAGTAGTTACTGTGGCCCATGGACATTTACATCTATCCCCGACCACGAATCAAAATTCAGATGCATTGTCACCCCTGAGGACTAAGATAAAATGCCTCGATTCCAGTGAAAGGGGTTTCCGGTTCATAGTATGTACTTACCGTCAGGTGGAATGTGTGCTCGTTTGTCATCATATAGGTACTATAACAAAAAAATATATAAAGTACAGCAGCATCAAGCTGCTATTTTACGCTCGTATTCTGAGGGCGTGGTCCTTCTCCATTCGAAAGGACCTATTCGTTTTACAATTATAATACTTTGCTGCGCATACTACCACGTACTACACTTCTTTACGTCTGATGATATTTCCTGCTCAGTTGATTAAGTTTGATAGTAGTCGAAATCATATATTATAAGCTAAAACGAAAATATTTTTGTTTTCATAAAATCGAGGTGACGAACTTACAGCCTACGTAATGATTATTGTCTACTGCAGCCATAGACCCTTGCAAAAAAAACTATGGCTTATGTTACTTTTGTGGACTAAGATGAAATGCCTAACAGCCTGTCATTATACTGGCTTTCATAACCGTCAGACCGAACACAGCAGTGCATGCCACACGTAACAGGATAACAGGATAGGAAATAGGTAACATATGACTTATCAGTCAGACTCCTAGGAAAAATGAGTACTACCACCTCGTAAAATGTGCTAGCAGTTCTTTAATGTGTTACATTTACCTCTTTCATTCAAAACTAATTCTTAATACCATTACTCAAAGTAGAAAATTGCATATTTTAATTTTTATTAGATAACAGATCTCAGAATCTATGTAACCGGGCCATTATGACGCGGATAATCCGTGAAATGGCAAGCGCGTCTTTTAGCACCTGCTTATTTAAAACGCACATTGTTGTTTATAACTGTAGTGTATATTCACGCTAACAGTTTGTCGCTGGGTAGGTAGTGTGTTGACAAAATTTAAGTAATAAATATTGTATCAGAGTAATAATGTTACGATTTAGGTGGCTGTGGCCCATAGAAATCTACATTTATCCTCAACTAAGAATCAAAACGCAGATGCGTTGTCATCCCTACGGACTAAGATGAAATGCCTCGTTTCCAGTAAAAAAGGGTCTCCGTATCTCTACACTCACTATACGAAACAGCATTAAGCTGCTATTTTACGCTGGTATTCTGTGCCGGTAGCGTGGTCCTTCCCCGGTCGAGCCGACCCGTTCATGCATCGATCAACAATACCAACTAGATGTCGGGTCGGCGCAAGAATTCCATCTAAGTAAATAAGAGCGCACATGAGACGTGAGCTCTTGCACGTGAGAGTGTAGCTCGCAAGGCAATAACGGAAAAAAGAACTTTATTTGTTTACTTTTTTACTTTACTTAATGTTGTTGGTGGGTGTTTGTTACTTTACTTAAGGTTGATTTCACACTAAATGTTATTTAATTTATGTCTTTTCATAGTTTATATTCATGCGGACAGTATTTAGCTATGATTTTGTACGTGATCCGTTATCTAGTTGGTATTGTTGATCGAAGCGTTCATGCTACAACTATACCTACTACTAATATAACTGCAGCATGGCTCTACCACGTATATAACACGTCTATGGGCCACAGCATCCACTTACTCTCGTGGATTGCGTGTTCATTTGTTACCCTTATTCTATGATACTGTTTGTATAATTTTGGCGCCATTTGGTGCTGTAAAATGATTGAAAGGGATTGCTTCTTAGGAAAAAACAATGGGAAAAAATAAAAGTTGTGATAAATCTACAAGGGAAGTAATAATAAAACTTCGCCGGAAGAATCGGTCTTATAAAAAGAAAGCTGACCACCTCCAATATTCAAAAACGATGGTTTTCCACGCTGTAAAGCATTTTGCTACGTATCAAACTACTTCGAATGTTTCACGTGTACCTAAGCAGAGAAAAACAACTTCTTGAGATGACCGAAACATCGTTCGTATGGCAAAACAAAATCCTTTTAAAGGGTCAAATGAGCTGAGAAAAGAATATTTCGGTGAAAACAACCCTTCAGCAATCTCAGCACGCCCTATTCGAAGACGTTTGGTAGAAGAAAAATTGCACGGTAGGATAGCAAGAAAGTTACCCATGTTGAAACTTTGCCACGGCGAGCCCGGGTTGCGTTTGCGGGAAAGTATGGAAACTGGACTGTGCGACCGTGGAAAAATGTACTTTTTCTGACGAGACAAAAAAACAGAGTATGTTCTGACGGAAAACGATATTTACGACGTCCCCCGAATACAGCATTCAACCCTAAGTACACGACAGTTACATTAAAGCACGGTGGTGGAAATGTAAAAATCTGGGGGTGCTTTTCTGGACATGGTCTTGTAAAGTTGATAGAATGTAACATGGATCAGTTCCAATACAAAAATATACTGGAAGAAACAATGTTACCTTATGCTGAAGACGTTCTACCGGTTATTTGGACGTTTCAGCATGACAATGATCCAAAGCGCACAGCACGCACCGTCAATGAATTTCTTACAGTGCAATCAGTTTCTGTCTTAGACTGGCCAGCTAACAGCCCAGATCTAAGCCCAATAGAGAATCTGTGGTTCGAAGTAAAGAAAAAGGTTTAAAATACGTAGTATGGGAATTTAAGAGAGCTGTATTTTTAGAAGAATGGGACTCTATTTCTCTGCGAAATGTCAAAAATTTGTAGAGTCAGTGCCTCGCCGGTGTAAAGCTGTAATTAGAAGCCGTGGATATGCTATTGACTATTAATTTTAGTTAAAAATGTATTAAATTGCTTTTTAAATTTTTTCGCGCTACATATTATTGTGATTTTTTAAATGTAAGTGTCATACAAAACAATTTCCGTACAGTTTAATAAATCGTTCCTAATTATTCGTCCAGTTTCAGTATTATTTGAATGAGTTACTTTGGTGAAATAAATAAAATATGAAAAAAAGTGAGCGATTTTATTCCTTCTTCCTAAGTGTGATTTGTGGCTATTTTATAACATAACTAGTTGCTTCTCAGAAGGTGCACATCTCTGTGTACGACATGGTTTAAATAAAAAACTTCTAGAACTTCAAATCGTTCTTAATTATGTGACCACAACTATATATGAACACTATACCTACTTTGAGCGAAACTAAATGTGTACGGAATTCAACGGGTTTAATAATAAAACGTTACCTCCACACTAGGATTTTCCCCTGTATCGTGGGGGCAGTTTAAATACATAAATTTCACAAAGAACAAACATCCAGACCCGGAACAATTATTTGTAAGACATACAAATACTTGTTCCGTGCGGGATTCGAACCCGCGGCCCTCAGCGCCGCAACTCATTTCTAAGCCACTGCGCCACGAAACCGTCAACAATAACAAATACTCAATTCAATGTTATTTTTGTTAACTGCCTTTATGTGTAAACAATGAGGAAGCGGCAGGGCACCTATTTTGAGGACGCGGAGGTGTTTGTAGAATAACAAAAAACAGGAACTTCCGCATTTAGGTTATGACCTCACCAAACATCACCTTAACCGTTGTTTAATAACCTTTTTGTTTCAGCCATACCACAGTTATATGCACCAGTTGTACAGAACGCTTCAACAACTCCATTAAGCATGGCGGCTAGAGCGATGGCCTCACTGGCACAGATGCACAGGAACGGGCCCCACATCAAGGATAGGAAGTCCAGGAATCCACTCAATGGAAACCCTTTTGCTAAGGTATGCCTTGATGTCTTATTCAGTCTGAATATTTATTTGTATACACCTAAGAAATGTCTAAAATGAATAATATTACGTCCCTCCATTGAAGAAAAGTCCCGTCATACATATCGCTGGTACATTTTTATGAAGATTAAGGGTGACAAACGATAACACAGTCCACCTGATGGTAAGTAAATGCTGTCATAAACATCTACGTCTGATCGAAATAAAGATGCGTTTTCATACCTGAGGACTAAAATGGAATGCCTCGTTTCCAGTCAAAAGGGTCTCCGGTTCTTTAAACTCACCATACGAAACACAGCAGCATTGAACTGCTATTTTATGCTAATATTCTATGAGAGCGTGGTCCTCCCCGGTCGAACGGACCCATTCGAGCTGCAACCATATTATAGTGTGGTTGAATAACGTAGACTGTTTGTCACACTTTCTCTGGTAAAAAAAATATTCTTGTGTTTAATTTATCACTGATTCTGATACTGCTGTCCCGGGAAGAACCAGCAATAAACCCAGCGGGAGGTCAAATGTAGGCAAGTTTCCTTCCGATGTATTCCTTCACCGTAGAGCACGTGGTAAATCATTAATTAAAATTGCAATTAAAGATTCCATTACTGCCGGCGAGGATTGCTCCGCTAGGTCAAATTTTGGTCAAGGCGACCAGTTCCAGCGAAGACTAGCCAATTTGTACCGGACAGGATTATAGTGCTCAAGTGTATGCGCTAGTACAGGTACAGTATCTATTCCCTTATTCTCATAATCCGATGGGATAGTAATTCGACACAACCAGAGAGGTATTAGGGGCACGACTAACGGGTTTACGTGCTTTCTGAGGCACGAGGGTGAAACACCGCCAATTTCCTGACTCCGGGCTGCTACAGAAATTTCTCGACAGAGAAATTCGATAATTGATTTTGGCTCGAACTGGGATTCGGACCCAGGACCTCATGATCAGCAGTCCCATTTACGAGCAGTAGACCAACGAGGGAGTCATGTGAAATTGTGTGAATTTTATAACTGGCGCTTAACCCATGAGCTGCCATGGCCCTAACTACTTACTTGGTCTCTCGAAAATTCACTACCTACACCATATCATCCCGTGGATGTCGTTAGTGGCGACAAGAAAAAAAATCAGGAGGCATGCAGCAGCGGCTTCCTAATAACGACTAAACATAAAAACCGCGGCTGCCACCACTCCTGCGAACAGTGGCAACTGTGACAAATATTCCCCCTGGGAGGCATATATTCAACTTAATAGGCTCCAGGTAACTAACGGTAAGCCGTACTAAAACTGACGGAATACTATGCAACAATCGTAAATGGACCTTACCTACCTAGTTGTAAATTTGCTATTTTGCGCAGAAGACAAATGGTTTTAAAACATAAAACTGTTTCTATAATCCTCTTAAATTTACTCTTCTGAGCAGTGACAAAGACCAAAAACCCAACTACGACTTAAATTGCCGCTTTTGAACACTAATAGTTACGTGCTATTTATTTTTTAAATCTCTTTATTTAATTATTTCTTAAATTTACGCGAACACTACACATTGAATAAAACTTAATTTACGGATTCTATCGCGTTTATTTAACTGATTTTACTTATTTTTAAATCCCCCCCCCCCCCCCGTGACCATGGGTGCTGTAAAGCACCCGAAACGTCGGGAATTAAAAATAAGTAAAATCAGTTAAATAAACGCGATGGAATCCGTAAATTAAGTTTTATTCAATCTCTTTATTTACTTAGTCCAGACGACAAAGGTCCATACATAACTACACATATATACAGTTATTATTTTCCATATATAGTATATAATAACATTTATATCAATTCATAAGTACAGTTATAATCGTTTATAATTAAACTTTAAAATAAAAGTAAAGCCGACTTCAAAAAAAAGAAGTCATTTCCACATAATTTTTTCTTAAGAAAATGCTAAGATCTTACCTCATTATGTCTTAGTAAGAATAAATTCGAACTTCAAAAGCTATTTTATGAAAATATTTTGTTTTTGATGTCGTTTTACCTTTTTTTAATTTTATAGTTTATTTTATCCCTTTTAAGTAGAGTAAGGAATATATCACAATGTCAAGGTAACAACTAGACACTTCTATGTGTGTCTAAATAGTTAGAATAAAAACTACATCCCGTATTTTCTCACCCTTAGAACTTTGTCTCCAAATTTATATTGGAACACCCTTAAACTATGATCTATTACCTATCTATACATTTTTCTGTTATATCTATAAATGGAAAAATGTTTTAAAATCATTGACGACACTGTCGTTAGACGTACATAAAAAATTAAATAAATTGGCGAGAATTTAATTCTTTTATACACCAACTTCTGAAGCTATAATGTGAACATTATTTAAGTCTGCAGTTTGTGATCTTATCCTAGACGACCCCGCCATTACATCAGATTAGATGGACCACAAATCCTCGCGAAAGAATATCGATTCTTGCCGAGGATGATACGTAAGGCTATAGAAATTAGAAAGCATCCTAATTTCAATAGAGAAGGAGGCTGTAATTAATAAAATTGAAGGAGCAATTCGTGTTGCGGTTGTTGATGGGCGGCGGTAGTCACTTACCATGAGGTGCGCCGCTTGGTGATTAAAAAAAATTGAAACTAAACCAAAGCATACCACTGCAAGACTTCAAGACACAGTACCTAACTTCCCTCTGCGTATATCGGACCAAATGTAATAATTAAAAATCTGAAGGTACTCTGGGTTAACTCTGACAATGGGACATCGATCACCTCAGACCCCGTGACCATGGGTGTTGGAAAGCACCCGAAACGTTGGGTATTAAAATCAAGAAAATTAAAATCCGTAAAAATGTGTACATTGAATAAAAATATTTTTACAGATTTTACACACTACAGTATTCGCGTAAACATTAAAAAATAGTATTATTTAACCATTGAAGTAATACGTACTTAGTACTTACGTACTAGAACAGCTATCTCAAACAAAAAATGTGCGCTACTCTGTGTTCGCGCGTTTGGTTTTTTATCATAGAATAAACATAAGTAGAATGATCCGTAGGTAATAGTAGATTGTATTGTTAAATAGGTAAATTATATCGAGAACAATATTTAAATTTTGTCATTTATTTTGTATATTATATTTGCTTATTTAATATAATATTACGTAATATTATATCACAATTACATTTTAATGATATTTTATCTGAATATTTTAAAAGGTATCTATGTCAAATATAAAAAACGTACTAAATGTATGATAACAAAACTTATTAACATAACATTTAAATTACAGATATATTTACACAAATTATATCTGACAGTATAAGATTAGGGGATTCCCTTTTCCTTCGATATTATTTAAATTAGAAAAAGAGTCGTTCATAAATGCAGGGCACGCGAAAGTTAAAAATGGACGAATTTATTCCACTTTGACTTTGATGTGGAAACCTAAAAATAAAATAAAAGAATAATAAGCAGATTTAAACATGAAAAATTTAGCCTAATTATAATAACTTATATATGTTTCTACAAAAAAAAATGTGTATAATAATATATTCGTCCTATACTTAAGTACCCACAGATGTCGCATCTGAACATATTAATTTCATAATTTATATTCCATGACACGAGATGGCGTCTTAGGAATAATTTGTTATAATATTAATCTTTAATACTTTTTTATTGATTAAGTATCTTATTAACCGATGAAAAGTAATTCCTTGGTTTTTACTGACATTTCTTGAATTATTTGTGCAATATCTAAGTACATACGACGGCATATTTTTACCAAGAGATTTTTTTTATAATCAACACAACACGTGACAACTCTACAAGCGCCTAGCGAGTGATTAAAGTGCGGTGTATGCACCGCAGTTGAGTGGAACAGAGTAGCTGAATGCAGTGTCGCCTCTAGTACGTGGTACATGTATTTAACTTATTTTTTAGTTTTATATAGTACCTAGACTTTTACTTTTTTTAATAACTAGTAACTATTTTCTGAGGGTTACCTGGTAGAAATTAATTTGTCTGTAAAATTGCCACATAATATACTGGATGACCTGGGTGTAACATGTGAAAGAAGTAGAAGTCAACAATATACAACTGATATTTTACAAATAATAAAAACAAATTTCTTTTAATTAAATAAGTAAATGAATTAAAATCTATCGAAATTCAAATCATGCCCAACTTTACGAACGGCAATAAAACAATAAATTTACTAGGCATCTTTGGCCTCGTCACTTCGCAGGATCACAGCTCAAGGGCAAAGTGCAAAGTAATTGTTAAAAAAATTTCAAACGTTTAATTTAAAATTTTTTTGTAAAATATCAGTGCCATCTGAGAGTGCCACAGGCTTTTACGCCGTTCACATGTTACACGCTATTTTTTCCAAGGAAAAAAAAAAGGCATCCCGGTATAATAATATATCGATATAAATAAATTTGAAGTGCCTGTCTTATTAAAATAACTGGCATCTGTTTGCACGATATTAAGACATAAATAACGATTTTTTTATCTGTCTGTACAGGCTAACACTCTGAATCGAATCGATTGATCGAACGATGAGACTTAACCAGACAGAGGGCAATGCTATCATTTTCCACTCAATACTTCATTCGCGAATTTTACCAAAACGCTACAAAAAGAAAAAGAAGAAGAGAGCAATACTAGGAGGAATATTTTATCCAGAAAACTAGATTATTTTTTGACAAATAAAAACTAAAAATCAAGAACATATTAAATGGTCTAAATAATCTTAATAATAATAGTAATAAGTCGACATTACCATTCCATTCCGTATGACGAAAACCTCGTGGAAGCCGAAACAGATGAGCGAACAAAATATCTGGACCTGGCTCACGAGGTGACCGACATGTGCGGTGGTCTGCCGACCGAAATTATTCCTGTAGTCGTCTCTGCGAATGGGCTAATCCCAGTCAGCCTCTCGGGTCATCTGAAGCAACTGGGACTCCGTGACGGACCGCTCCGGGCTCAAATGCAGAAGGTGGTGGTGCTCCTCGATACCGCCCGCATCGTCCGCCGGTGTCTTTCCCTTTCCCCCTAACCCTCGGCCGTTTGGTCTCCCCTGCCGAGTGCTTCCATCTGGTTGGACCTTTATTTATTTATGTACTTTTTGTATTTATCTTGTTTTATTGATATTTATGTATATTAATTATTTCATTTTAATTTATAATTATATATTTATAGTAATAGTAATAATATACCAATAATAATAGTAATAAAAAAGCATGGTGGGGTTCTTTAAGCGCGTTCGGCATGCATAATCGCGAAGTTTGCAGCATCCATAATTACTTCCCGGTGAGATCGGATGATCCATTCTATAATGACGTCATTTCTTGGGATAAAGAGCTTATCCCTCTATTCGTAGCCAACGAGCAATGGCAGAACCCGGAAGTACATAGCTTTTCTTACCGCGAAACCATATGAAAGGAACTCCACGGGAGGTTATTCCTACAAGGCTCTACATGAGCCTTTCGTAGATGCAGTCGCCTCACTCAACTGGCTACGTTTCGGTGACCTCTTCGGGTAAACCGAGGGTTTTGTCTATGCAATACAGGATCAGGTTGTTAAGACCAACAACTATCGGAGATACATCCTAAAGGATGGTACTGTCGAGGGTTATTCAGCCCGACCGGATGAGAATACTTTATAAATACCCAATAATAATAATAATCTTTGTTTTTCCTCTATATTTTGTATATTTTTGTTAGGTTAATCGATTGAGTCTTCTATTGCTGTAATCTTTGTCCACAGGGCGTGGTCCTAAAGACGCTGATTAGGAAACCCAAGAAGCCCAACTCGGCGAACCGCAAGTGCGTGTTGGTGAGACTGTCGAACGGCCGTGAAATGGTCGCGTACGTGCCCGGCATCGGACACAACTTACAGGAGCACAATATTGTTCTCGTGCGAGTCGGCAGGTGCGTATCCATATGACTGCCCAGTCTAGTCTTTAGACTACACAGTTTCCTCGAGCTCTTGATCTTATGTTTGAATACCAGCGGGGGAAAATACAAATTGTTGGTTTTCTGGACTGGCTGTGCATATTATTGTCTTCAAGATAAAATGTCTCTCAACCATTTTTAAAGAATAAGGATTAACGACTAGATCCAAGAATTACAGTTGGCATAGTGATGTCGATACTAAATTTAAGTGCTTATGCTGGGTAAAAGGTAGTTTTTTTATATAGAATGGTGACAAACGAGCACACAGTCCACCTGATGGTAAGTGGATACTGTGGCCCGTAGACATTTACATCTATACTCGATTAAGAATAAAAATATAGATGCGTTGTCACCCCTAAGTTTTAGGGTTTGTACAGAAGTATTTTCACGCTGGTATTCTGTGAGAGCGAGGTTCTTCCCCGGTCGAGCCGACCCCTTCGTGCTACAACCGTAATGTAGCTGCAGCGTGGCTCTACAACATTATAATATTGTAGCCTATGTAGCCTGTAATAATACCAGCTCACCTACTCTTCAAACCATAAAGCAGTGAGTGTACTACTGCTTGACAGATTTTTTTAAATAAAATAATGGTGACAAATATCCATCCATACTCGATTAATGATCAAAACGCAGATGCGTTGTCACCCCTGAGGACTAAGATGGAATGCCTCGTTTCCAGTAAAAAGGGTTTCCGGGTCTCTACACTCACCATACGAAACACAACAGTATTAAGCTGGTATTCTGTGAGAGCGTGGTACCTACTTCCCCGGTCGAGCCGACCTATTCGTGCTACATAATATTGCTGCAGCGTGGCTCCACCACTTATAAACATACAGCGTACATCGTACATCCATACAACGTTTGTCATGGTTCTATAAAAAAAATCACGTTCTATAATGTCTACTGCTGAACATATGTATATCCCTCCTCACTCGTAGACTGCCTCATAAGAAGAAATTTTCCATATTTGCCACGTTTGGCAAGCGTATTGGCAACTGCTGTATATTATTTTGAGCCTTTATCAAAATGATGTAGCAGCATCTTTTTTTCATGCCATCTGTTTCGGTTTTCCTCTGTCGGCTCTCACGACATCCACGCGACGATATGGGTTACTGGATATTCTCACACCGCAACAACACGGTGACGTTTATAAGCATTTTTTATTTAGTTTGTTGGCATATATAATAATACTAATAGACTCAAAATGTATTTAATACCTGCCTGATGTAGTTAAAACATGTCTCATTGTTTTATTACCATTTATTAGTTATTTTTTTGTTCAACTATTTAGTTTATATTGACATTCTCATGCTGAACTTCGTACAGTTTTTTCTTTATATAGAATAATAGTGGTAAACGACCACAAAGTCCACCTGATGGTAAGTGGATGTTGTGCCCCATGGATCATCTATCCTTGATTAAGAATCAAAATTGAGATGCGTTGTTACCCGTGAGGACTAAGATGGAGTGCCTCGTTTCCAGTTAAAAGGGTCTCCGGTTTACACTCACCATACGAAACACAGCCACATTGATCTGCTTTTTTCGCTGGTATTTTGTGAGAGCGTGATTCTTCCCCGGTCGAGCCGACCCATTCGTGCTACAAACATAATATAGCTACAGTATTGCTCTACCACCTTAAAAAGTAAAAACAAACCTACAAATTATGAAGCAGTAAGTAAGTATTTAAAAGTACGGTACCCACTCAACTACTTTCTTTTTTTCCGTTACCATATTCCAACTTAATTAAAAGAATCTGTATTTATATAAGATTTTTTATTTTTCAGAGTAAAGGACTGTCCCGGAGTAAAATTAAAATGCGTGCGCGGCAAATTCGACCTTTCACACGTCGTGAAGCAGAAAGTCTAATGTTAATGTTATTAGATAATGTTTAGTATTGCCTGATTATAGTAAATATACCAAATTAGATTAAGGATTAAATGTGTCTCATTTTTGTTCACCCTGATAAAATAATAAAATCTACAGCTAAACATAGATCCGATAAATTAATTTTAAACTGAAGGTAAAGCAAGTAAAGTTACAGCCTATATACTGCCCACTGCTGGGCACAGGCCTCCCCTCATTTCTGAGAAGGTTTTAGGGCAAGGAAGTGTCCGCCGCGCTGACCCAATGCGTGTTGGCAAACTTCACATGTCTTCGAAATATTTTTTTTCTTATTCCTCAGACATGCAGGTTTCCTCACAATGTTTTACTTCACCGCTGAGCACGTGGTAAATCAGCACTTAAAATTGCAATAAAACAATTTCATTGGTGCCGGCGGGGATCGAACCCGGGTTACTCGCGTTCGAGCGCTAACCATCTGAGCTACCACGGCTCTACTGAAGGTAGCCGTGGTTAACTATAACTCGAAATGTAAGGAATATAAAATAACGCGATAAAATACGTGAAAACTATTTTTATTTAAATGTATAGTGTTAAAGTATTGTTTACGTTAAAGTTAACGTTGTAAACATTAGCAACCATTATAATAAACTAGCTCGCATCTGCCCGGCGGGAAGAAATAATAGTGTAAATATAAGTAGTTTTAATTAGTGTAAATTTTAAAGAATTATATTGTTTAATCTAATAAGTTAAAATTAATGTTTGTTCCTATTTTATGAGGTGTCATACCGTTCATCAAATTACAATGCGCGCGCCATCTACTGAAAGTTAATTGTACTATGCCTATAACCTTCGCGCAAGTGCAAGCAATAAGTTGACAAAGTTTTACCATAATCCGATAAGCGGTTTGGCAGCGCATAAAATACGAACAAACAAAAATAAATTTTTACATAATAAATAGTACATACACTACTTAATAGTTTACTAAATGTCCGACCCTAACTTCTCCATATAAATACATAAAAACTACACATTACAATTTATTGCGGTCATATTTTTTTTGTCACAAAGTGTCGGTTCATTGCGTTTACTTTTTTAATCTGTGCCGATGTCTGCTCTGATTGGTGGGTAAATTTTGGCGCCTGCGCTGACCACACCCACTAAAGTGCTCCCTATTATTGCGCAAGGCAAAAAACGACATAATGTAAAGGGGATAGCTTATATAAAAAGCATTTACTATTCACTACGTTCTGTGCGGGATCCTACTACGGTTTATATATCTCGTGGTTTGTTTCCCACTGTCGCCTGTTACGATACCCACGGGATATGGGGATATAGTGTATATGGGGGGGATAGTAGCTATACTTACATCGCTACCACGGTAATAGCAATAGTTAGAAGAGTATATTATAACTTCAGCTACAATTAAAATGAAACAAAACTATAGAAATTTTATGAAAATACCAACTAAAAGTACTCACAATTTATATCAATAAATAAATTAATAATCAATAAAAATTACTTAAATAAAGTTTTAATAGACTGCATAAAGTAGTAAATGCATTATTTTTATCAATTCAACAAATGATATCGCCTATCTATTTAGAAAGTTAAGAAAATAAAAACGATGGCTTAATTATTATAATTTTAATCATAAAAAAAATTATAGGACTTAGTTTAACAATTGCACTTTACATGTTCATAAAAATACATATGTACAGATTAAATATTGCACTAATTATATTATTATTATTTAGCTTAAAACTAAAATTTAGTATACAATTATTATTTTGTACAAATTTCTAATTTATCTTCACTAATTTCTCACAATGTCAGTAGGGATATGTCTGATGACAGCGGGTGCAAGACCTCGAAGCCAGTTGACACTTCAACTTGGCCACCTCATTCCTCAAATAAGTCACTTTCAAAGCAAGATGGATTTCTCTCAGTTTCCTACGATCTCTGCTCTGTTTCGCGGCGAAGTTGTTCCTCTGCCGCTGCTTTCTGTATGAGTCGTCGGCTGCCTGACTCGTCTGCACGGCTCTCCTCATCCTTGGATTGTTACCAAGGAGAGTCCCTCCATTCTTCTCCGCCATAACTCTCAATGCGTCCCTCTCGAATGCTTGAAAATCCGCATCATCGGAAAGTGAATCTACATCGACCATGTAACTCGGCCGTTTGGGCTGTGAAACGTGATGGGAGGTCGGCGATGCTGGTGGCGAGATCATCCCTATCCGAGGGCTGATGGGTGCTGTCATGTAGGAGCACGTGCTGCCGCCAGATGGAGGCGAAGGCGGCGCTGCAGGGACGTACTGCTGCGGATAGTTGAGGTAAGGATAAGGCACGTTCTGATACGAGGGTACATGGTAAGGAATGTTATTCGGGTAGCACTCCGGCGACACTCGTTCTTCTTTGCACTTTTTTGACAAATCCAAGGCAGCGTCATCGGCGTAAGGCGTCCACAAAGCCATGATTTCGCAAGACGTGTTACCAACTCGAGATATCGATCACAATTGGCAAGAACCCCTGTCGATTGCCCAAGCGCCCTTAGTAGCGTTGGAGGCGGAGCTTGAACGTGGAGGGGTAGCATTACTGCCCCCACTCGACACCCTAATGCAAGGGTTGAGCGTGTGCTACCTGCGGGAATCTTAACGGGTCTCCGTTTGAAAGAAAACAATGGCTTATTGCGGTTTATTGCGACTTATAATCCTTGCGTAGTTTTACGGATTATATTCTATTGTGTTAAGTTATAATTCCGTCGTTTTGCAGATATTTATCTCCAAGTTATGATGTGCAATTGCCGGAATTTATATTTTTCAATATTTATTGTAAGATGAGATATAAAAGATCTTTAGGAAATTTTTTGATCTTTCTCTAACACGTGACAAAAGCATAATGTTTATTCTGTTATTTATTTCATCTTAAAAATTTTAAGTTAATAATCTTTTTATTTTATTTGTGGCTTTTAGAGCAATAGCCAGTAACAACTTTAAAAAATAAAAAATGTAAGTATATGTACGCACTACGCAGGTGCATGCTATATAAATTTTATATAGGTACAATGCATATAAGAGTAAGAGAGAAAGAGAGATCGTAAAAAATTGTAAAGAACAATCAGATTGAATATTTCTCATCCTTATATATACTCATCACGATATCTCCAAATTTGGCATATATACTCCTTTTTCGACATAGACACCCACTAAGAATGGAAAGAAAGAAAGAAAGGATTTTGGAAAGTTCAATCCCTGAGGGGTTGAAATAGGGAGTTAGAGCTTGTGACAGATAATTGTCTCTTACCTACTAATCTTTTATAGGAGTTCTTTATAGGTATACTTAAGTAGATTATTTTAACAGAAATTCTTGATACCATGTTGAAAGTTCATATCGTCGGTAATATAGGCGTTATATTTAGTTCATAAGCAATAACTTATATGACTTATGACGTTTATTCTTTCTCAATTCATAATGTACATTGGTACGCAAAACTATCTATTCATAGGCATATTGCTTCACATATTTGTAAATAAAATTATATTTTATTTACTCGTATACTAGACATTGATTAAAACTAATTTGACGGACTAACAATTAATATTCAAATGCTGAAGGTAGCCGGGTTAACTATGACATCGGGATGTCACACCTCAGTCTGCCCCGTGACCATGAGTGCTGTAAAGCACCCGAAATGTCGGTTATTAAAAATAAATAAGTAGAAAGAGCGATGCGAAGAGTAGGAAGAGCTGAAAGATTCCGACTCACACCTGCAATTTCAGGTGATCACTTACCATAAGATGAGCCGCATGCTAGTTTGCCTTGTCTTCCATAAAAAAAAAGTTTTAGTACGCGCGAAAAATCTGTTAAATTAATTTTAAGAACTCAATATTTGCCAAATCCGTATACAAATAGCTACATCAGTAGATCAGTAGATAGGGATGTTAATTATTGTGTAGACTTAAGGTATTAAATTCTATTTCGCTAAGTTCAGTTGACAAGCTCGTAAACAAATTAGTTAATGACTGTTGCAAGCTGTGATGTATCTGACACTAACGTAAACGAATAACAAAACTATTAGATGCAACTATTGTTAAACGTCATTAGAGATTGATTTTACTAACTTGTTTACGTGTTATTTGAAACAGACTGGGGAGTAGAGGTCTGGTGACTAACTGTATGTTTGATTTCTTTTGTTTAAAAAACTACAGAATGAATACTTTATCAATTAGGTATTCTTTATGCAAATCATCTCAAAACAAATTTGTTCAGATGATTTTATTGTTTCTTTACAAGTCATGCGAGACAAAAATTACTTACACTGATGTAGCACAAACGTAAAAACGTATTGGTACACCATATACGCACAAATCGGTATTCTTTTTAAACCTTTTTTACTTGGTATAGCCATGGTGCAGTTACATAAGTAGTATAGTTGTAACAAGAATGGGTCGGTTCGATCGGGAACGGGCCATACGAGCGTAAAATAGCAGCTGAAGCTTAACGCTGCTGTGTTTCGTTTGATGAGTGTAGAGAACCAGAGAATATTTTTACTGGAAACGAGGCATTACCATTTTAGTCCTCACGGGTGACAACGCATCTGCATTTAATTCGTAATCGAGGATAGATGTAGGTGTCTAGAAGCCAAAGTAACCACTTACCATCAGGTGGACTGTGTGCTCGTTTGTCACCCTTATAAAAAAAAACAGTAGAATTGGACTCTATAGAATTCACAACGATATGAGGAAATTTAGACGCTCAAATATCAAACCTGTTAAGTTTTCCAAATGAAAAATAAAAATTTAATTTAAATTTAAATATGCACCGTGCCCGAGCCGTGGTAGCTCAGAGGCTAATCGCTCGACATAAATATTATAATAAAACCGGGTTCAATCCCGGCCGTCACAGCCTATTTAAAGTCCACTGACTAAACATAGCGGCATTGGTTAGCTCGGAGGTTGGATATTTGCCATAGTGGCGAGCGGGTCGGCAACCATACTTTATTTTTATTTTTAGTTGTTATTAGGGAGACACTTCTGTCTATCTCTATCGTTACCCTCTGTCATCTCTTACGACACCCACGGGATGATTTCAGATCGTCGCCGGTGCGAATTTTTTTTTTGCGCCCGAAGCAAATATGGGCAACCCTCCGGAAAGCGGGGGAGGGAGGCGGTGAATGCTCATAGTATACGTTATGTGGAGACTTTTACCCACTAAACACCGCCTTTATGGATTGGCTTACCGACCTGACGAGAGATCTCTAAGTCGTATACGAACGCGACCCTCCTTGGCAGAAAGGAGGGCGCAAGCGGCGAAAAGCCGCTTAGAGGTGTGCCTAACTAAGGAAGATTAAGGGATGTGTTATGTAGGCTCGGCCTGAGCCGCCAGGAGGCAGTTAAGGTCAGCCGAAAGCTTGTTGGGGGGGGGGGGTCCGAGAGAGAGTTTCTCGGTCTGCGCACACTATAGCGAGTGTGGATAGGGGCTGCATAGGCAGCTGTCTCACGAATGAGATGATTTGGGTGGGACTATGAGGCTTTGAAAAATCTCTCAGAGAGTGATTTAAGGAACTGCTGGATTGTTGGGAGCTCTAAGTCTCGGTGTAGGTCGGCATTACGGACATAATAGGGCGAGATTAATAGCCTATGATATGGAATAGATTTTGAACTATTTGAAGTTCATTTATAACTTTGGGTTTAGCTGTGTGCGAAAATGGTGGCCGCGTAGGTGGTTCGCTTGTTGCGGAGAGACATGTATTTTCTAAAATCGCGCGGTGCGAGTTACCTTCTTGATATGGGGCTCGAAAGTGAGCCTTGCATCAAGCGTGACGCCTAAGTATTTGGCTTTTGATTGCCATGGGACATGGGACAAAAGAGGTTCCTAACATCCTGATTGGCGTAGTGGCGGTGAGACGGCGTCGTTTATATTCGAAGCAAACGGCGGAGCTCTTCTCCGGGGCCGGTGCGAACGAAATTGTTAATTGCAGTTTAAGTGTTGATTAATCACGTGCTCGACGGTTAAGGAATACATCAGAAAGTACATTTCGAAGATATGTGAAATTCGCAAACACGTATCAGGGCAGCGCGGCGCGGTGGACATTTCCTTATCTTGAAAAACTTCTCAGAAATATGAGGAGGCTTGTGCCCAGCAGTAGGACGTATACTAGACTGTTTTTTTTTTTGATAGAATTAGGTTGACAAACGAGCACACAGTCCACCTGATGGTAGGTAAGTGGATGCTTTGGCTCATAGTTGTCACTCCTGAGGACTGAAATGAAATGCCTCGTTTCCAGTAAAACAGGCTCTCCAGATCTCTACCATATTACCATACCACCATACGAAACACATTATTCTGTGAGAGCGTGGTCCTTCCCCAGTTGAGCCGACCCATTCGTGCTACAATAATATAGCTGCATCGTGATTTATCTCTTGTACATGAATTTTATTTTAGTTAAATAAATATTATTGGTAGTAGTATTGGGTTTTTAAAATAAAATAAATAAAACGCGATAAAATTCGTAAAAGTAGTTTTAATCAATGTATAGTGTTCGCGTAAATATAAGAAATCATTAAATATAAGAAATCATTAAATATATTAAGAGCCGTGGTAGCTCAGATGGTTAACGCTCGCTGTAAATATAACAGAACGCGAGTAACCCGGGTTCGATCCCCACCGGCACCAATGAAATTGTTAATTACAATTTTAAGTGCTGATTTGCCACGTGCTCGGCGGTGAAGGAAAACATCGTGAGGAGAGGAAACCTACATGTCTGAGGAATAAGAAAAAAAATATTTTGAAGACATGTGAAGTTCGCCAACACGCATTGGGGCTGCGCGGCGGACATTTCCTTACCCTAAAACCCTTTCAGAAATGAGGGGAAGCCTGTGCCCAGCAGTGGGACGTATAAAGGCTGTAACTTTACTTTTTTTAAATATATTAAAACAGACAAACAACAGAAAGCAGATAAAATAATAAATGTAATTTATTTTTGACGATGATAAAAAAAGTTGAACATATGCCAGTACCTACTACCAAATCAAAAAAAAAATAATTATTTACGCAAAGCTCAAAGCGAAACGAGCACGCTCAATGGTCAACAAATTTGACAGAAATTAATAATCAAGTCCGGCTTCGTATTCACAAAGTGCGCTGTAGCGTATCTTTGGCAACTGTCGCCACTCGCCATACTGTCCCTTCCGGCAGAAGTACCTACTGAAAAACGCAAAAGCATCGCAATTTTCAAACCTTTTTGCTTTTCTACAAATAAAAAAACTTTTTTTATAACATTTAAGTAATACACAATCACATTATAGATATGTAGAGAGATGATGTTGGTAGAGCTACGCTGCAGCTATAATATGGTTGTAGCACGAATTAGTTGACTCGACCAGGGTAGGACCTCGCTATCACAAAACCAGAGACCTTTTTTGCTAGAAAAGAGGCATTCCGCCTAAGTCCTCAGGAGTGACAACTCTGTAGC